TCAGGTTTAAGATGAATGAATAGGGGCAGTTGTTGCACTCCAAAATTTACCCTCTTATTTTCAATCCTAATTGGCTTGTGTTTCATTATCATACACATTCATACATATCATTGTTTCTATGGTTATGGGATCAAGTTATTTTCCCATTTGGTTTTCTTCAAGCATTAGAAGGGAAAATTTGACAATCAAGACAAGGAGGATGAGTTATCCTTAATTTTTGTTCAATCAAGCTACAAAGGCTTTTCATGCCTCAAGACATCTCAATATGTTTAACATTTCATTAGAGGATTGAAGATTGCAAGAGTTTTAAAGTGAATCACATTTCTCCTATCCATTGGCTCTTGTGCTAGGGCTTTGATCAGTTGAGTGTGTGACACCTTTGTGGACAATATCTTTGAAGCATTATCATCTTATAATCATAAAAGACATCATTTTTCAAGATATTCTCCATCGTGGCAGGAGGAATTAGGGTTTTGAGCTTGAGACATCATCTCCTATCACTTTCAACTAAAATTAGGGTTTGTGATAAAATCAGTTTATTTTTTCCCTAAGTGTCTACGGGTGGAAGTTTGATCATTAATTTTAATCATAACAGTTTCAATTGCTCAGATGAGTGTGAATTAATTGAATTGGCTAAAAGTCAAATGTGCAGTCAAAAAAATCAACTCCTGACTTTTTGAGGTCAACATTGTGTTCTTCATGTCAAATATGACCAATGAGTGGAATTTGATCAAGAAATGTCAAAGGAATAATCAAAAATCAAGAATTGGGGAAACTTACTTAATTTGTCAAATTAGGGTTTTCTAAATTTCCATTTTTAGTAAGTATTCATGCAACTTTCAGCCATCTTTATGGCCAATTTTCACATGGATTCAAGCTTCAAATAAAAACAACCTCAACAAGAAAGTTGTTCAATTTTCTCTTATCTTTCCAACCATACTAAGTTCATTCCAATTGAATCAATATTGAACAAGTTATGATGTTTTTAAGAGTGGTGTCTTTAAAGGTATTTTCCAACACTTTGTGAGATTTTCCAGATTTTCAAGGTGGTTAGATTTTCACATTATTTTCGTGCTCTAATTTAAGGGACTTCCAAGCTTAAAATTACAAAACCTTCAACACTAAATTTGTTCCTCATGATCTCATCTTTACAAATTGTCCAAGTTTGCTTCAAATGGTTGAGAGATGGATGAGATATTAAGCTTAGGCCATGGCGGATTGTTAAGCTTGTGCATGCATGTAATTTTGTACCAATTTGTGATTTATGCACAAATATTAGAATTTGCTGCAAGAACTTTGCACATTCCTCATTCACACACCCCTCGTCTTATTTCCTTACTTTATTTGGCCAAAAAATGCATACTTAGTGTATGCTCACAAATTGACAAATTTTGCCAATTTCGACAATCTTTCCAATTTTGATTTTATTCCCCCCATGTGCACCTCTTGGTCCCACCTTTTCAAACCCTTCTCATGACTCAAAATGCTTGTCAAAACGTAACAAATCCAATCTTAATTGTTCACAAAACACAATTACCTCACATAACTTTCCAAGTTGCAATTTATTTCCATTTCTGTCCTCCAATGGTTTGGAGAAGATATTATTCCTTTAAACCTAATCCTCACACTCTATAAGTACTATATACCCTTCATTCATGAAAACACACCTCTCATTATTTCAATTCTAGATCTGACTTTATTTTCTCATTTGTCAAGTTTTCTTTAATTCTTTCAATTATCTAGAGGAGACTCTCATTTCTCACTTGATTCATCACCTCTGAAGCTCAAGGATCAAGATTATTGGGTTTATTAAGCTCTGGAAGTGAATAAGGAAGTGGACTATTCTTCCACTAGGTAAGATCTTCATGCTTCCTACTCTTCATTCCTTGATCTATAATTTGTTATAGGAACATAATGCATCAGTAGCTAGTCCTTACAATAGGTAGGAAGTGGTTTATCTGTAAATTTTAACATGTTTTGCTAACTTGATTTATGTGTGTTTTGTGTTACATCTGTGACTTTCAGATCCATTATCTTTTTGATTTAGTCCTCATTTTGAATTTTGTTTATGATGGTTGCGCTCTACTCGCAAAGATCTTCATTTTTTCTCTTTACAGTTTTTAATTTCATGAACTATGTGATGAGATATTGATGTGTGAATATGGATGTTACAAACTGAATTAGGGCTTCTATTTTCGTGTTTGATGGTTTTGAACAATGTTTGGAGGTTAGGCATGAATAACTGGTGTGCTCGGATTGGCTGTTTTAAATTTTTGTCTTATTCATTTAAAATAAGTTGACTGGTTGATGAAGGTTACACATAATTGTTTGTTATTTAAGAGTGACAGAAAAATAAATCCAAATAAATAAATGGTGGTCCTAGGCTAGCGCATGTCATTTTTTAGTTGGTCTCTGGAATTAATTTTGTGATGCTCTGAAAGCATTACTGGTAAAATAGTCGTGTTTTTATTTAGAAGTGCCACTATTTGTTTTTATTTCATTTAATTTTCTCATTTTATTTCTTATAATTCTATTTTCTTTATGAATTTATTTTTAATACTTCTAATGATCCAAAAATTCCCAAATAATTTACATATATGTTTTAATGTGTGTAATATTTTATTCTTATTTTTATTTTATTTTTCCACCAGTTTTACTATGTTATTTTAATTTCACCATTAAATGTATATAATGTAACCTAGTTTGCACATTAGGGTTTTGTTTTTAATCTTTCAATTTGATTTTGATCCCAAATTTTGTAAATATATGGACACATGTTAGAAGTTCCTTTGAGAACTCATTTGATATTTTTACCTTTAATTTTGATTCATGATTGAATTTAATTTTGAAGCCTAATTTGTGTGATCTTTGATTTGTTTGCTAGCATGATGTTTGATATTGTTTAAACACCACTTGAACATATTTCTTAGCAACATTTTAGACCATATGTTTTCCTCTGCCTTCATTTCATTTTGATAATTTTTTAATACTTTTTCAAGCCTCTTAACTATTTTTATGTTCAATACAATGCTTGCCTAATGCTTTTGATACTTGTGTGCAAAGTTAATTGATTAGGGATGCACTTGTGAGACCATTAGGGGTCTTGCTTCCCATTTGTGTTCACTTGAAAGGTCACGAGTTAAAGCCTTCTCACTTTATTTTATTGGTCCTTTTGTGCATCTTTGATTGTGTTTACAATTGTGTGAAGTTGAACATTCTTACTTGCCTAGTTTTGGTGTGTTGCCTTAGAGTTTTCCATGCTATCTTTTTTCAATTCTTGTGATGCTAGAATGATTGATCTAATATGTAATTTTATTCTTCTTTTATGGTTTGACACCCCTTTACCATGTTCCCTCCTCATCTATACTTTGCTTAATGTTTATGTGCCTTCAGGAGCATGTTAGGGTTTGGTTTTGACCACTCATTGCTTCTATCTTTGAATGTGCTTGTGTATGATGCCTTAGAGATGTTTATAGGTCCTTTGTGTGTATTGATCACATATCCTTGCTTCTGACCTCAACCTTTTTTATGCTTAATTCCATGCCTAATTTCTCACACCACTTGTTAGGAAGTTTCCACTTCACTTGACTACTTTGATTGTTTGTGTGCTTTCGTGTTTGTATCAAGAATTCAATGCCTATTTGAACTTATTATTGATCTTAAGACTTGTGCTAATTTAACAACATGTCTATGTTTTTCTCTCCCTCTTCCCATATTCCTTCTCTTTCAACTTAAGCACTGCATGAGGACTTATGTCCACTTAGGTTTATGTGGTTTCCTTTCCTTGTATGATTTGATTGTGAATATTTCTCAAGCATGTTTATGTGATGATGATTATTTCCTTATGAATTTTCTTATGACTTGTATACTTCTTCATATATTACACATCAAGCAATCTTCTTATGCCATGATAAGTTAGGCGCTTGACACATAAGGCTTCACTTGTTTGTGTGCTTACTTGCTTGCCTTCTCTTGTGATTCTTAAATTCATACCTCTTATGCATGACCCTTAGGGAATTGTTTGGCATGTATTAGAGGTTACTTTGATAAAATGTTTATTCCCTTTGAATGTGTTCTACTTTATTAGGACTTAGGTCCATTTGTATAACTTGTTTAAGTTTCATCTACCTTCACCATGCATGTTTGTTTTAATTAGGTGATGTTTGTTAACACGTGACTTCTTGATGATAACTTATTATGTATTTAAGCTGTTTAGACTTAGGTATCCACCTCTCTTCTCTCATTTTATTTTATGCTTTTGACATTGTTTGAAGTTGTAACTTCTTTGTGCTTGCTTGCTTTCTCATTTGCCTAGTTAGGTAATTTCTTTCTCTTCTTGACCCTTATTGTCATGATTAGGGTATACTAAGACATATAACATGTTATGACCAAAACCTTAATGATGTTTTGATGTGCTTTCATTCCATGTCTCTTGGTTAGTTAACTATTGCTTCGTTGTTTTGTTTTCCCACTTCTCTAAGCATGATAGTTCTTAGGTTAGGATATTTCTATCTCTTGCATGCCTTAATCATTTGACTTAATGTTTGCTTGATGTATTATAATCTTTTCTTCTATCTTGATTACTTGCTTAGGTATCTACCTAAGTGCATGTATGTTAATTTTATATTATCATCTAGAAACAACTGGTTGAACAAATCATCAATATGAAATCAATGAAGTCGCCATCGAACGTTTTTTATCCCACGGGAAGGGAAAGGTAAACATCGAGTAAACCTGAGAAGGGTGAAATCACAATCAAACGATCGAGAGATCAGGTAAGGGAGTCGGTTACGCGAGGGGGATGTATTAGCACCCAACACGCCCGTAGTATGCTATGGTATCCAATCTTGTTGTTTATCTAATGTGGTGTGGTCAAAATCTATGCCTAATTGTTGTACCCAAAAATTTGCCCTCCCATTTTTCGTTCAAGATATTCTTCTAGGGTTCTCAAATGCTCAAGGCGGCTCAAGAATTAATCAGACAAATTCTCCTCCTAAGCAATGGGTCCACAATTAGGGTTTGATATTTCTCAAGCAACATTGGGTTTCCAAGGTCTCAAGTGGATTTCACTATTCTTCATATGTATTCAAGAATGCTCGTATCAAATTTCATGCCTTGCATCACAAGTTTGCTCAGTCAATGGTTCAGATGACTGAAAATCAACTGTACTGGGCAAAAAGTCAACATTTTCAAGATCAAGTTCAATAAATTGTAACTTCTTCGTTATTCAATATTTTTGAGTTGTTATTTTTTCGTATGAATCTCCTTAACATCATCTCCAACTTATCTTTACAAGTCAAGAGCCGATTATGTGTGAAAGATCACAAAAATTTTGAATACTTTAGAGGTCACTTTCTGGACTTTGACCTAATCTCAAGTAACTATTGCCTGACTTCCAAGAATCGTAATTTCCTCAATTTTCAAGATCTTGAGACGATTAATTTTGCACATTTTCTAAAGCAATGTCATCTACAAGTTCTCTTCAAGGATCGAAGGAAAATTGTGTTTAGAAGACCTTGAAAGTTATTGAATCATCATAGGTCATTTTCTTGATTTAGAATGTTCTTAACTTCTAATTGAAATTCATGTCATAAGCATTTTCCAAAGACACTTGATAGTTCATAAGGAAACAAGTTGACTTTGAAGATTCGTTGATCGTTTGTTGCTCAAAATTCATGACACTTGTGCTTGAGCGTTAATGATTACTGGATTGGATTTTTTATTAAAATTCTTAAGGTATTTAATTTGTTCAAGAATTTGATTTAAGATTAAAGATTGGAAGATGATACGAGTGAATTACTTAGAAGTCAATATACAAAGCTCAAGTTCATTCATGTGATTTATGCAAGTTCAAATATTGGTCCTTCAAATTAAAAAAAAAACAAAGTATCATTCAATATAAATTCAAGAATAATGTCATAATTTGTTTCAAGGTTGCGTTTCCAAGAACTCATTCACTATTCAAGTCCATTATGAATTCAAAGGTTCATTCAAGAATCAAGACGTTCAAATTTTCATGTTTATTTATCATTCCAAGTTCATCATTTCATGATGCAAGCTCAAGATATCAAGGGTTTAAGATTCATTTGGATTCTAAGTTTTCTTCACAAAATCATTCAAGATTTCATATTCATTCAATATATAATGTCATCATTCAAGCTTACAAGAGTACATTCAAAATCCAATGTTTCAAAATTCAATCAATTTCCATTTTAATTTACAAGATACAAAGAGATTATATGAAATTAGTCAAAGAGCCTAATCCTACTATCCAAATTTTTTTCCAAAATCTAGTTCTCAAATCTTCAAAACTTCTCCAAAGATGTTGCCCACTTACTACAAAACAACCCTGCACTAGCTGCTAATTTTCCATGCAAAATAGTCCATAAAAAACTATCAAAACAATCCAAAGCCTTACATCAAAATAACTAAAAAAACCTGCACAAAAATTTCCCTGTTGTTGCTGCCATATACATAGAAAAACCGGCATGCTAACCTGCATACAACAGTCCACAAGCATGTTGTCCAAACTGCAAAATTGCTCAAAATACACCCATACAAAACATGCATCAAGAAAGTAACAAAACACATCATCAAAATAAATTTAAAATCCTCAAAATTCTCCCCAATTTCCATGATTCTTCACTATAAATGCAAGCTTCAACAATGTTGTCAAGGGGGAGAGAATTCAGAAAACAAGTTTTCGATAAAAAAACCTTTAATAATTTTGTACATCATCCATAAACTACTGCAATACCTCACTCTCAAAAACCTACAACAATACCTCACTCTTCACTGTCAATACACTACTCATCTCCCATATACTTCCTCATCACTACATTCCTTAACCTTTTTACCAAAACCTTCTTCACCCTCTATTCGCTCAAATCTGCAACCTATTACCACCATTCATAATCCCTTAACAAACCCCACTCCTCATAACTAACCTTAATCCATCCTCACTCCCTGCAACTTTAATACTTCTATTATTAAAAATTTAACAGCATAGGAACAAAAAAAAACAAAAAAAAACTCATGTCAAGAGAAAACGAAAAAAATCAACCTTCCTCCAAAAAGGTCTATTTGTAGACTCATAGAATACACTCAGTAATTTGGAAATAAGACGGGAAAAAGAAACTCAGAAAAGAAAAATCTCCAAACCTCTCAAAACATTCTCTACATTTTTCTGAATCTCTACTACATCTTCAAACTTCTGTAAACATCACTGCATCGTATCCTCACCATCAAACTACATTAATATCAAATCAAGCACTTCATTAGCTTCGAATTTTCATCAATGAAATTTCTTATTTGCTTCATTAGCTATAGAAGTAGAAGAATAAGAAGAGTGAATCAGATAGAAGAAGAGAAATAATCATACTTGATTTTCTTGTTTTCGTAAATCACTGTCAATGTCGCATTGGACGAACTCCGATAAGTATATTTCTAGTTCCTCCTTTCCGTGCATCATATCTCATGAACAATTTCAATGCTTGTTGTTGTTATCAGGCGGATGAATCTTATGAGTTTTTTTGGTTTTTTATTGTCATTGTTAAACTGGAAGAGTTTAAGATAAACTGTAAAAAAAACTAATCTAAACCAAATTTTTTGGAATAACACCATAATCATAAAAGAACAAATAAAACGTGATACCATATTCACTATAAAACTCGGAGCAGAATATTCAAGAAAGAAAACTTGTTACCGTTAAAAAACAAAATTTGAGCCAAAAAGTGTTGAACCGTTGAAAAACGAGATTTGAGCCGAAAAATACTGAATCAGAACCTTATGAATAATTGTTGTTGTTTCTTGATTCTTCTATTCAGCCTGAGATATCATCGATAAAGATTGGAAATTTGCAGGAACTTTGAAACTGTTGTTGAAATGAGAAAGATGCATAATTTGTTTTTTCTTTCGTTTTTGGAGTAGAGAAACAAAGATGGGGTTTGTGATTGAAAAGAGGCGTTACCTCTGTTTAAATTTAGGATTTGAAAACCCTTCTCTTCCCTCTTAGCAAAACCGGGTTTGGGCTTATTTTTGGCCCAACTTATTTTCATAAGTTTCAGTTTTCTTTAATTGAGGCATATAAACAAATGAATAAGAAACATGGTGCAATGGTTATGGTGCTGGTCTACAAGTGTGATGTACTGAGTTTGAGATCCATTGGGGGCATTATTTTCTTTTCTGCATTTTTTTCTTTCTTAAAACATACCTTTTTTTAACAAATAAGTTTGAGCTTTAACCTCTTTACTCTAACCCAACCCGGTTTATTCCAACACACCTCCCAAATCCAGATCCGCCTCCTTCAGGTCCATTTCCTCTTATTTTATTTCCTTTCAATTTTTATTTAGTTTATGTATTTAATTTATCTATTATTTTTATAAATTTTCTTTAAATTGTAATGTTTGCTTAAGATTAATATTATTAAATGATTTTTTTTAGCTTGATTAATTTAATTATTAATTTCGTTAAGTAAGTCCATTTAATTTGTTTAATTGATTTTCATTTTGCCTGAATATTTAGATATTTTGTTCGCAAGACTAAAAAATAAACACTTTCTTTTTTAACTAAATAATTAAACTAAAAAATATATTATTTTTATATTATCAATTATTTTTCTAGTTAATTTCATTAAATAGGTTGTTTTAGTTTAATTAATTGTTTATTTTTAATTTGATTGAATTGTATTGATTGTTTATTTAGACTTTTAATCGTATTGATGATTCGACTCATCCCCATTCATAAATTTGTACCTCCACTCTCAAATCCTTGTAATAGTGTAGAACTTTATTTTTCCTCACTTTATCGTATTTATTTATTATTGTTTAGTAATTAGGCGTGTATGGCAAGATTTAAAATCAATCGCTAGATAACCCTAATCAAGACAAATTAATTGAAATCAAAACACTTTTCACACGCGCACATCTAAGATGACTCTACTTGTTGCCTCGGAAAAACAATCATGTCCCTCGAATATGGGACGCTTTAGCAAAGACCCTCGATTAAAAAAGATCGTAGTCCCTCAATGATCCTTCGATGTTGCCTTCGGTAAAACGATCTTAGTCCCTTACGAAAATTGCTAAAGCGTCTCACAAGTTGCCTTCTATGACTGTACGATGACCCGTGTCTGTCCCTCGCATCCGATGATATGGCTTCCTACTAACTAATGGTAGGCAAGCATTATCTAAAGGAGGAAGAAAAGAACAAAGACTTTTTGAGTCGGTAGATTTCTCGTAATTGCTCGCTCATAAACCAAAACACTCTTTACACCTAACACTTTCAAAACACATTAAAAAACAAACATATTTTCAAACAAATATTTGCAAAACAAACACTTTGTGTGCATTCTCAATGATACGAGAATCATTACAAAGTTTTCCGTACCAAGGCATTTTCAAAATATTTCCAAACAAACATTTTGTATACATTCTCAACGATACAAGAATCATTACAAAATCACCACTTTCAAAACATCTTTCAACTAACACAAAATACAAAGCATTTCAAAGTGAGCTAGCAATTAAGATCCCGTAGATAACTACAGGTGAAAAGGGTGCTAACACCTTCCCTTTTCATAACTTACCCCCCGAACTCAAGAAAATTCTCAAAGGTATTTCCTGTTCTTTTCACCCTTTCCTTTATTAGATAAAAGAAAAGTCAGTGGCAACTGTTTCTATCCACAACATTTTGTGATAAAATGCAAAACACCAAGTCAGTTCTCCCACCGTATTACAGAATTGGCGACTCTAATGGGAAACTAAAAGTAGGGTTACTTTAAGAGCTAGATCACCTTTATTGCCTTACTTGCTTGATTTTTTTGCTTTACATTTATGGGTTATGTTTGGGTTTATTACTTGTAAGAATCATATACCCGGTTACTTAGTGTGACACATTCGTTGAAACTGTACGGTGTAGACCGATATGGTTAAAGCGATAGTTATGTTAGTGTGACACATTTGTTGGTTCTGGTGTCCCTTGTGTTCAATCAAGGAGAATACAGGGCCGCTGTATGGTGTCATGAAGCATTAACTAACCATAGAACCTTAGTTGAACAACTTGGCAATTAGAAAGTAGCGAGATAGCCGACTTTGGTGCAGACATAGGTTGGTTGATACTCGATACTACACTCATTGAGATCTGACTTTCGGGAT